AGCTCCCTTAATATAGCGAGAACCTTATCCTTCTCGCTAGCCGTCGCGCTTTTAATCGCTTTTAGGATAGCTACGATACTTCCTATCCGTTTAAGGAGGGGCGGAGTGCTTCCTTAAAGGGGAGGCGCACTCTTTAGAGAGATATTTATTAGATCTATTAGTTAATAGCTTATACTATTACGGAGTAGGTAGAGGCGTAGGCCTAGGTACCGTCTATAAGATAATATTAATAAGCTATATAGAGCTCTCTTATACGCGGCTAGCCCGTATATATATATATAGGATCTAGCCCTCTATATATAACTATATAGCTTAGGCTATAGCCTAAGCTTATAACCTATAATAGTTAAAGACTCTTATATTATAAAGGCCTATATCTTTATAAATAGCTTAGCCGCTATAAGGAAGGTTATAAGTTTCTTAGACTAGGCTATATATATTAAAAGGCTCCTATTTAGCTTAAAAGCCTTTTATAATATATAGCTATATTAGTGCCCTAGCTACCTAAGGATCTTTAATAATAAGTTAGCTAACTAGCTTACTAAGAAAAGCTTAAGGGCCTTTACTTAAGGGACCTCTTTAGTCTTTATTAGCTACTTATAAAGAAAGGTCTAGTAAGCTACTAAGGACTATTAAAAGGACCTTTAAGCTACTAAGGTAGCTAAAGGCCCTAGGGCTAAGGGCCTAGGTAATTACTATATATTTATTTAAAAGACCCCCTGCCTAGCTTTTAGCTTAGAAAAGGACTTTATAAGGAGGCCTAGGCTAACCTTCTTAGCCTTTTTCTAGCTCCTATTTAAGGCTAGTTTAACGGTAGCTGCGGCATATACCTAAAGACACACCCACGCTAACGGCAATAGTAGCAGCTAGATACCGAAGGACGAGGGGGTCTAAGGGGAACGAAGGAAACGAGAAAGCACTAGGCAGGGCAAGGCAAAGGCAAAGAGGGCTAAAAAGGTATTTTAGTAAAAGAGGATATAAAAGAAGATAATAATAATAGAAGAAGATAATAATAATAGAAGAAGATAATAATAATAGAAGAAGATAATAATAATAAAAGAAGATAATACTAATAATAAAAGAAGAAGATAATAATGCTAATAGAAGGAGATGCTATCTACTAGCTAAGGAGGAAAAGAGACCTCTTTTATAGACCGAATTTTCCCTCCTTCTTCCCTAGACGAACAGGGGCCAAGGGATTATCTAATTAAGAAGAGGGCTAGCTAGAGACTCTGTCAAGGATCCTGCCAAGGACCCTGCCAAAGACTCTGCTGCGCGGGCTGTGTATGTTCCTTAGGGTACAGATGCCCCCGTCAAACTCCTCCACAATAAAGAACAGACGCCCTCGTCTGCTAGGTAAGCAAGCAGGCAAGCAACAGCTAAGGAATAAAGAAACAGACAAGCAGCCAAGCAGCCAAGCAGGCAAGAAATAGCCCAACGGGAGACCAAGGAATAGACCAAGCAACGGGCCAAGGAATAGGCCAACGAGAGACCAAGGAATAGACCAAGCAACGGGCCAAGGAATAGGCCAACGAGAGACCAATAGTAAGAAATAGCAATAGAGGAAGAAAAGAGATCCTTATAGGCAAAGGAAAGAAGAAGCTAACGAGGAAGGCAGAGGAAAGAACTCTTAGAGAAAAAGGGGGAAAAAGTCCCTAAAGAAATACCTAGTAAAATTATTTAAAATTTAAAAATCATACCCTCTTTTCCCCCGGCGACTTTTACGTCTAGCTAGCTTTACCTAGGCAAATACCTATGCCTAGGAGGAGAATACCGGAGATTGCTGCTCTTATCTTATTTATTTTAGGTATTTCAAAAAGGGGGGATTTTTCACACTTTCGTTAAGACTGCTCAAAGGTGCCTGCCGCGTCGGCTGCTGCGGACCGTGCCGGGAAGGGCGGAAGGAAGGATCTCTTACGTATGCTATTATTGCTGTCGGAAAGGTCGTCTATCACGGAAGTCGCCTGCCAAGGAAAAGGTCGAAGAAGCTGTCTGCTAGGGAAAGGTCCGTCTGCTGCAAAGGAATTTGTCTGCCGAGAGAAGACTGTCTGCTAGGACGTCTGCCGGGAAAAGACTGTCTGCTAGGACGTCTGCCAAAGAGGAAATCGCCTGCCGGGACGGAAAAGGTTGTCTGCCGGAACGTCTGCTGAGGAAGAAATCGTCTACTAGGACGGAAAAGGTTATCTATCGGCACTGTCTGCCAAGGAAGAAATCGTCTGCCGGGACGTCTGCCGGGAAATCTGCTAAAAGGGGGAAACAAGGCAAAAGAGGGGTGCCTGCAGTCTCTAGGTGCGTAATCGGATGGTTAGAATAGGTGCCAAGGGGAGCCGTTGGTCCGGGCCGTTGGTGCTAAAGGGAGCTGTTGGTCCGGGCTATTGGTGCCGAAGGAGCCGTTAGGACCATCTAATCGTGCGAGAAGGAATAAAATCAAAGGAAGCTGCCGTGCTAGACGAAGAAGTCTGCCGTGCTAGAGGCGCTGCCGAAGAAATTATCGAAGATTGTCGAAAGAAGAGACTGCCGAAGAAGAAGACTGCCAAGGAAGACTGCTATAGAAAGAGCTTGCAAAAGACCGTAGCCGAGGGGCTGTCGAGACCGTAGCGAGGGAAGCTGTCGGACTGTAGAGACTGCCAGTCCCGTAGAGCTGTTGGTCCCGTGGAAGCTGCTAGTCGTATAGGCTGCAGAAGAAGTTGTCGTATTGGCAGAGAAAGAAAACCCAGAAAATGTCCGCTGCTGCTGCTGGCGCAGGTGTCTCCCCTCCACAACAAAGACCAGACGTCCCCGTCTGCAACTAAAGCAGCTGCCGTAGATAGAGCCTGCCGGAGAGCTCTGTCGAAAAAGAAAGCTCTGCCTAGGAGGAAAGTTCGGTTCGTTGAAAAAAGAAAGTTCCGTCTAGTATAAGGGACTCCGGCTAGGGCAGGGGACTTCGGCCGGGCAGGGGACTTCGGCCGGGACAGGGGACTTCGGCCGGGACAGGGGCAGGGGACAGGGGCAGGGGCCATGGTCTAGGCCAACGGCTGGGGAAAAGAAAAAAAGTCGGTGAAATCTTTCCCTGCCTAGCGCTTATCTCGACGGGAAAAGTGCGGCAGCACCGGCGCAGTTCGTTTAGCTCTGCCCTTTTCGCATCTTCTTCCTCTTCTCGAGAGAGAGAGGGAGAGAGGGAGCGGGAAAGGGAAACAGAAGCTTCACGCCCTGGAGACCAGTTTTGACGGTGGCTTCGGCACACACCCAAAGACACACCCACGCCAACGGCAACAGCAGCAGCTAGATACCGAAGGACGAGGGGGTCTAAGGGGAACGAAGGAAACGAGAAAGCACTAGGCAGGGCAAGGCAAAGGCAAAGAGGGCCAAAAAGGTATTTTAGTAAAAGAGGATATAGAAGAAGATAATAATAATAGAAGAAGATAATAATAATAGAAGAAGATAATGCTAATAATAAAAGAAGAAGATAATAATACTGATGGAAGGAGATGCTGTCTGCTAGCTAAGGAGGAAAAGAGACCTCTTTTATAGACCGAATTTTCCCTCCTTCTTCCCTAGACGAACAGGGGCCAAGGGATCATCTGATTAAGAAGAGGGCTAGCCAGAGACTCTGCCAAGGATCCTGCCAAGGACCCTGCCAAAGACTCTGCTGCGCGGGCTGTGTGTGTTCCTTACGGTACAGATGCCCCCGTTAAACTAGCTTCTTATTTTCCTTCTTAAAAAGGATTAATAAGGTAGACTAAGATAACTACCGCTATAGCTAAGGAAGGTATACGGCTAGGCACCTTATCCTAAGGTGCCCGAACTATAGGAGGGAAAGAGAGGTCCTTTATTAGACCTCTACGAGATAGAAAGAAGCTCTTAGCCTACCTTTTCTCTATAGCTCTAAGGAAAGAAGGGAAGCCCTTTTAACCTTCTTAGCTAAAATAAAGATAGGAACGGCTAAGTAGCTCGAGAAGGAGTAACCTAAGGGCCCTAGGGCCCTTAAGGGGGAAAAACTCCGCGCGGGAGGAACTAGACTAACCTTTCCTTTATCTTTGCCTTTATTGCTACCCTTTCCCTAATTAGTTATAACCCCCCGGGCTCTATAGCTAGCTAGGACTGCTAATAGGGGCCTAGGCCCCTATTAGCCTCGCCATAGCTCTAGAGGCTATATGCGAGTAATAATATAAAAAAAAGCATGGCCAGCAGTAGCTTGTCTTTCTATAGCACCTCCTTAATCTTAATATCGTCACCGGTCCGAGGATAGCCACGAACCTAGGTCCGCTTAGCCGTGCTATTGGGGTATAGCAACGTGGAATCTATGCATATTGCATTGAGATAACTCGGCATAGGTACCGACTTTTTCCTGGATGGCGGCACCTCGACTACCTCGTCGTCCGAGGGAGACCTGGCCCGTTTTCTGGCCATTCTCGCTAGCCGTTCATCCTCCATTTTCCTTCGATTGAGGGAGAGCAGACTAAAGGCTGTTTCCGATTACTGCGGGTCTTAGTGCGCTGGCGGAATCGATGGGCGGATTGCTGCGACGCAAACGCGTGTGTGACGAGATTGGAGCCTGTTTTCTCTTATATTGTGTACATATGTTGTGTGGTATCTGCCTACCTATGTACCTCGTATTTGAGCCTATCGAGAGTCAAGCTTTTACGTCCGACTCTTGCCTGCCCGCAGAAAGCCATAGAACCCAACGCAGGCTGCCGGTGCCCAGTAGGGGCATTGTTGGCGTGGACTGTACGCCTTCGCCAAGATTTAGAGTTCAGGGCTGTGATTCATGACCTCGGTGAGTCACTTCCGCTTTTCACCTCGCCTTCCGTTCAAATGATCTCCTCGTTCGCACTTCTCGTCCGCACATCTCTCGTCCTCATTTCTCACCCTCGGCGAGTACACTCACACTCTGAGCCTTTTGACTGCATTCTGCTACCGTCGACAAAATGGGCTCTCTCGTTCTGTCTCCTGCTACCGCAGCGCTTCTCCCGCATTTACCTCCCGCCAGCCGAGGCCCAGGTTTTCGATCGTTGTCAGTCATGTCCTACTCCAGCTCGAGTAGCGATTCCGACGAGTCGATCGAGATCCCCGAAGACCTTAACTCGACCCAGTTCCTTCTCTTCGCCGGCTTTTCGGAGGACACAGCCAACGTCATCTGGCAGTCGTGGAACTCACACGGCATCGAGCGCTTCTGGGTTGTCGACGATGCAAAACACTACGTACGGGAGAAAGGGAGAATGAGAGATGCGGTCGGCGCTTCCGACGATTGGCATGGCTCCCTGCGTGAAATGGGAATGTCGGATGACTTTTGTCGACGCGTCTTAGATCCGGCTTTTGACTCGGTTCGGTTGACCGAGTGTGCCTGTTTCTGGGCGCTGGATACCATCGACGAGGCTTTCGCCTACCTCTCGTCTTTAGATCATCGGATTCAACAAAAGCGACGCATGCAAGAAATTTCTCGCATGGGATCCCCTGACGAAAGCGTCTTGCCTCGACCAGGTATACGCTCGCAAGGGCTTCAACCGGGCGGGGCCGCGCCTATTCCAACGCTTGCCCTCGTCGCAACGCCCCCTCCCGAGCAAGTCGAGGGCCGCACCATGTTCTACAAGGGGGGCAGCCAGATACGCCTCGAGTCCTGCGTTGCCGACGATGGCACCATTAATATGTTTGCTCGTCGGTCATCGGCCCCTACCGACTTCCACCTTACGAATGGTCACTACGTTTACTTGACTAAACAACGCGAGATTGCGCACACGTATGCTCGGTTCGTCGAAGCACGGGTTCCATCTTCTAAGGCGGCCATCCTTCAAATCGCCATTCCCCGTGATCTAGTCGACGATCCACTCGAAATTTTCGGCGATGACTGGCGCGAGCTGATCTGGCACTCCCGCAAGGGGGGACGGCGACTTCCTGCAAACCTACAGCAGTACGTCGAAGCCTCCATCTTGGTAGGCCCAGTGTGCAGCGATGGCATGCATTTGGTTTCTCGAATGTCAGACAAAGCCGAGCTATCGATGATGAAGCTTTCAAATGGGAGCAAGGGATCCCAGTGGGCCATCCAGAGCGTTGCCCGGTTGGAGCAGATTGACGATGCGTGCTCGGGTTTTCTTTGGGTGACGCCAGTGGTGGATCATACTACGGGGCAAGGCCAAGGCCGTCGGGTTTCAGCCCGGAATACCTGGATGTGAGTTCTGGCCATGGTGGTTGGGGGGAATAGCTGGTGATACCGTTACCTGTATGTACTTGAAGCATGCTTGCCGTTATCGAGTGTCAACGACCTTTGGCCAGACCATCTTGACGGCGGCCTCTCGCCTGGATCGACCTCTTGCGCTGTATCCTCTAAAAAAGTCTTTGCTTAAGATATCGCAAGAACAGACGTCTCTAACTTTATGATGGAGGGTGGGGCGGTAGTAGCGGCGCTATAAGTAGGTAAAGGAAGGGTTAGCGTAATAGCGTGCGTTAGCGGAGTAAAGGGGCATATTAAACGACCTAAGGAGGAGGTAAATAAGGGTAATAACTAACTAAAACTAGACCTAAACTTAGGCCGAAATATACCCTAAGAATAAGCTAACCTTATACTAGTATTCGATAATTAAGAGCTATAGAAGAAATAGATAAAAGTATTAAGGAAAGATAAGGAATACTAAGCGGTATTTTAAGTAGTATATAAAAGGGGGAGATCGCTAGTATTAAAATAGTAACTAAAGGTATAGCTAAGTAAATATATAATTAACGTTAAGAGATAGTTATACTTTTAAGAAAGGCTATAGGTACTAAGGAAACTAAAGCACGATAAAGAAGAAGGGGCTAAAGAATAAGATATACTTTAGGTATAGATAGCCTAATAGATATATAACTTAACGGTAGTAGGATACTTAAGGAGAGAGGGGACCTTAGTAATACTAGCCTAAGAATTCTTTTAGCTTAGCTAGTCGGCGATAGTAAGGCGGCTTATCGCGAACTATAGACTATATAAGAGGGGGTATATATAAAGGTAACTTTAAAAGGGACTTTTAAAGCCCTTACTACCGCCGTCCTAACTATTTATATACCTATTAATAGACTTTATAGTTAAACTACCGCTAACTAAGATAGAAGGTATAAAGTACCTTTAAGTAATTATAGACTAGCTAATAAAGGCGGTAACGCTTAAAGCGATACTAATAATAGGGGTAGTAGTATACGCGATAAGGTTCTTTTAAGCTTACTTCTACTTTTATAAGATACTAAGGTTAATCGTATTAAATAAAAGGATAAACTAAATAAGAAGCTTTTAAAAGGAGTTTTATAAATAAATAAGAGTATAGAGGAAGTTAAGTTTAGTATACTACTTATAAATAAATAAGTTAACTAAGCGCGTAAACTAAGAAGTATAAGTATACTTTTAAGCGTATATTTACTATAGCTAAGATAACTAAAGAGTATAGCTACTATATATATAAGCTATATTAAATAACCGCGTAGTATTAATAATAGGTATAAGCTTATTCTTCGCGATATATAAATATAATATTAAGCTAGTTTAAATAGTAAGGGAAGAGGAGCCGCTAGCGCTAGAAGTAAGGGGGGCTAAGGAGCTCGCTTAAAGGATAAAAGAGGTAACCGACTTCTTATAAACTACTATTATCGCGGTATAGGTAAAATAAAAGGAGATAGTAAACTAAAAGAGAGCCTTAGTAAAGAGGTTTAAAGTAAGCAATAAGGTATAAGTAGATATAGCTAAATATATAACTAACTAGCTATATAAGAAGCTTAACTAGCTATATTAAAAGTATACTATAATAAAGGTAATAAGCCTATATATAATAGAGCTTAATATACTAAGGAGGGTATATAAGAAGCTTTATATAGAATTTCTCTACTAAATAGTAAAGAACCTATTACTTAAATAAGTAGTTAACGACTACTAACTACTATTAGTAATTAAGGAGGATAATAAGCCTAAGTATATCGTCGAAGAGATCTAGTAAGCGCGGTAAAAGTAAAGGGGGAAGGGTAGATAGTAATAGGTACTTATAAAATAGTAAGGGTATATAAACCTATTATAGTACCCGCTAAACGACTTCTAGGAGACGGAAGCCTTAGAGGGATATAAGAGATAGTAGGGAAACGTAAGGGAGAACGACGGAGGAGGGGTAAGAGAAAGAGATAAAGAAGAGAGCGGAAGATAAAGAAGGGGAAATAAAGGATAAAAGGAAGAGAAAGAAAAGAAGGTAAGAGATAAGGGACGCTTATTAAAGAATAAGGAAAAGATAAAAAAGAACTATAGTATTAAAGGGAAATAATAAAGAACGAATAAAGGATAGATATAAAACGGATAGTAATAAAAGATAGATAAGGATAGGAATAAGAGTAAGATATAATAAGATAAGATATAAATATAGTAGGATATACTAAGGATATTAACTTAATTTTAACTAACTATAGACGCTTTTTAACTACCGCTTAATTACTTTAAGATATTAAGGTATATCTAGGCCTAGTATATAGATATAGTAGCGCGGGTAAGCTTAGTATACTAAAACGATAGTTAGAGATAAATAGTAAGATAAGGTTAAAGGAGGAATAGAGTATATATATAAAGGTCGCTTTAATAGTTATTAAACGTCCTTTAAAATATATAGTCCTAAAAGGCGTTAATAGTAGTAATCGTATTATTAATATATTATTATTATATTAGCGTCTTATTAAATAAAGTTAAAAGAAAGTAATAGATAAGAAGGTAGCGTAATTTAGCGTAAGTATAAGTAAAGTAGTTATAAGTATATAGTAACGCTTAATTTTAATAGGTACTATACTATATCTTAATACTTAGCGACGTTATTTAGCCTATATAAGTAAGATAGGGTAGCCGCTATATAGTAGTACTATAGGTCGCGCTATACTTACTAAGAGATATAGGTAGACGCGTTAACTAGCGTAAAGGTAGTAGAGTATAGTCGCTTAGCGTACTAAGAGGCGGGGTACCGCTACGCGGAGTAAAGAAGCCGGCGGGCGTATAAGGGCCTATAATAGTTATAATATAGCGCGGCGCGGCGATAGAAGTTAGGTAAAGTAAGGGCACGCGCGTAGAGGGAGTAAAGCTTAAAAGAGGAAAAAGAAAGGAAGAGGGAGAAGGGATAAAAGAGGGGTATTTATACGTAGTAGGGTACGCGTATAGTTAGTAAGGTATAAGGGTATATATATAGAGGAGGGAAGGTTAAGGCGGAACGGGCGTATAAAAAGGCAGTATATAAAGGGATAGGGCGAGCGTAAAGTAGAAAGAAGCGACTACGTACGCTAAGAAAAAGGGAATAGTAATAATAGAAAGGTAGTAAGAGAGGAATAAGAGCGCTATTAATAAGAAAGGGAGAGTAAGGGTAGTATTATAGGCTATACTTATAAAAGGCTAAGGTTATACTATAGCTACTATACTAAAGTCGGGCTAAAGTAAACCTATATATAAGTAGAGCTTAACCTAAACTTAGGCTAAATAGTACTTAAATATAGGTTAAGCTAAGGACTAAGGAAGATAGATAACTATCGCGACTAAGATAGAGTTTTCCTCCTTTCTCCTTAGCTTTAAATAAATAATTATTTAGCCTTATACTACTATACTAAGTATATACTAGCCCTTAATACTAAGGAAGAGATACTATTATTATATTACTTACTATAAAGCTATTTATAGGTATAAGATTTCCTTATTTTTAATTATTTAAATAAGGGTATTATAAAGGTATAAGAGGTTAGCTATACTTATAAGTAAATATAACTTTATATCTTTATAAGTAGTCTTAACTAAGCTATTAACTTATTAACTAAAGTTATAATAATAGTAAATATAGTACTAAGCCTACTACTCTTATAAGGGTATATATTTATTTAAGATATAGGTTATAATATAGCCTTAGTATTATCTAAAGACTTTATTAAGCCGCTACTATAACTTAAAGAAATCCGCCTTTATAAGTATAAAGATAACGCGCCGCTAAGTAAGTAATATACCCTTATAATTATAGTTAAGATCCCTATTAAGGTTAAGCTTTAATTTAATACTATTATCTACCCTATTAGCTATAGCCTCTTAGGTAAGGATTACCTTAGCCTTTAAAGGTATCTTAAAATCTAAAGGATTTTTATTACTATTAGGATTTATAGTATCTTTCTAGTAAAACTAAATTTATACTTAAATATTACTATTAGTATAAAAGATATATAGCTATTACTATATATAAGGGAAGATACTTAAAAGAGCTTTTTTTAATATAGCTTCTTTATTAGTAACTATAATACTAAGCTCTTTTACCTTAACCTTAATATAAAGATCGTTAAGGGATTCTAAGAGCTATTAATAGCCCTCTTTTATTTTTATATTAATAAGTTTAAAAGCAAAGTTAGTAATAGATTTTTAATTAATAATACTAATAACCTAGAAAAGGAAGAGTTTAAAGCGGTTAGTCTTATATATATTATTAAGACTAAGAACCTCTAGAAACCGCTTCTATATCTTAATATACTAAGGGTAGGTCTATAATACGCTTTAAACCTTATTTTTATTAAATAGGTTAAATTAGATATAATAAGGAAGGCCCTTACGCTATAAATACTTAATAAACGTTTTAGGTAGCTATCTTACTATCTAGAGCTTTTAAACGAAGCTTTTAATAATCGTTTTAAACGTCTTATAATTAAAAGTTAGTAGCGGTAGGCTCTATATCTTATAGGATACTAGAAAGCTCTTAGGCTAAGAGGGCTTTATACTTAGATAGGTATCTCTTAAGGGCTTACTAGGTTTTAGTCCGACGGCGATAAATATTATATACTAATAGATTAAGGGATAGCCTATAATTATAAGAAGGCTTAGTAACTTAAAATCTTTACTTTTATAGACCTTTATTAAAGGAAGCTATAATATTAAGGTAAAAGGGATAGTTTAGCTTTTAAGTAAAAGTCTAGTATAGCCTTATACTTAAGGAAGCTTACTATAGGCTACGATTATATATAAAATAAACTCGCGATATAAGGGAGGCCCTATTAATATCTCGCTTATATAAGTTTAACCGTTTAATAATAGCGGTACTATTATCGCGAAGAAACCCTTAGATAAAGCTATATACTATATTATAGGAATTAAAGCCTAGCGATAGTAGTAAGTAATTAATTATACTATCTTAAGCGTTAAGGATAGTAGCGTTAGCGACTATAG